ACCCACCCACAACCCCTTCCCTTCCGTTTTCACTGCACAAACCATGTTGGTAAGTAAACTAAGTGTTTGCCTCTCCATTTTTTTTTTTCACAGCACATTGCTAACAGACCAATGCTAGGCTAAGTCAGGGGTGCAATAAGCACCAAAAGAATGTTTTTTTCACTTTAACAGCCTCTCTGCAATACCTCAGTATTTCTTGTGGTGTTTAAAAGCACATCCGTTTCACTTAATTCTGGCTCCACATGATTTTAAACTTTAAGGCTATTTCTATTTGATACCACCGTAATCTAATTCATGATAATCTCAAAACCTAGCAGCCAGGAAATGCAGCAGTACAAACTAGGCTGAAAATTGCAGATGACCACCTGTCTCTTCCCTTTCTACTCTGGCAAACCAAATCTGGATACACTGTACAGAATTTATGGCATGAGAAAAATCTCACATCTGCTCTGTACGAAATAAGTTTGGCCCATCTAAATAGCAATACATGTAAAACCAAAATGCATTTAAAATCAAAACATTTAAATTGATAGGTAGTAAAAAACCCGAAACTTTAGCCTTCCTATTCTGATTTTCACACAGACCCTTTCTGTTGAAGCTTAGTGTCAGATTTCATTAGGACTGAAGCCATACCGCTGCCTGTTTAATACAGTTGTTTCCTGTAGCATAACTGAAGTGTTTTCAATTTACCTTTACAATTCACAGAACATTTATTTTTGAAAGGGAGTAGAAGTCAAACTAAGCAATAGAGCTTCATTCTGAAGGTTGCATAGAGACTGAAGAGATTTATACAACGAATGCTGCTTAAAAAAAAAGTGTCTGTCTGGCACTACTTAACAGCTCAAATGTGTGTGACCAAAAAATAACCAAAATATTTATAGGCAATCAACTCTGAGTTTGTTAGCAACAGCAATACTGTACATTTTTACACTATTATCAAATACATAATTCAAGAGTTACAAAATAAGATCATGCATTACCACTAAATCTCATACAAGCTTGGATTGGTTTCATTCCAAGAATCTGAAACAGAGACAGAAGCATTTTTTTATGAATAAGAACTCAAAACTCTGGATTCTTGTTTTAGCTTTCACAGATCCCATATAATCTTGTTACAAGAAAGCCTGTTCAAGTTTGCTCAATTTAAAGTGTTAAAATGACTACTGAACAAAAAAGCGAGCAAAGTGATCAAAAAAGGGAGCTAAGTTATTCACTCTTTTAAAGGCAGCTTTAGAGCCTTTAAAGGGTACCCTTACACGCTGTGGGTAGGATTTTAACAAAAGATCAGACACCCTTCAACATGCCCAACTCCACCTTCTTTTGACAGACCATTCAGTTTAAAGAAGTGAGCTGAGCAAACAGTGTCCCCATCTGGATTAGGTTCAGCGTAAAGTAGGTGTACACATGCATGTGCACTACTGAAATACCAACACTCCTTCCCTAGCCCCACCTCCTGATTGAAAGGAAGCCTAAGTTGTTGGCAACACTTCCACCTTTAGGTGAACCCGAACAGAGCTGTGTGTTCTTTCCAGTTCTGGAAGTGACCTGGAATAGGAGATAGAGGGATGGAAAAGCAGCATCCTACCCAACATTTCAGAAGTCTTCAGCTTTGTGGCTCATGCCTCTTGTTAGTAGTATTTATGCCTCTTCAAAGAGAGCAGCGTTAAGAGCTCAGAACCTCTGTCTCCCTAGTTTCACTGCATTTACATATGGCACAAGATTGGTTTTCTAAAGAATAACTTGTGGCAACAACATTTTTTTCCTAAAAAAGTGTAACAGCACAAAAAAGTTTAATTTATAGCAGCATTTTACACAATTTGTGTTAAAAAAGTAGAAGTTAACCATTTGTGTATTGAGTAACAAAAGGTTTAAATTACATTTATTTTCCATTTTACACTCACTATTTACTAGTTGGACTATTTACAAAGGTTCAAATGCTGTGTCAGAGAATGAGCTTTACCCAGAATAAACTTAACTTGTGAGGTAATGGTCTACCTCAACATCTGTTTTGGCTAGCTATAGAGGAGGTACAGTTGGGTTTAGATCCTAGAAAAAACAGAATTAGGGTGTTCTTATGAATTAGATTGTGATCTTGTAGAAGAAAACCATACACGCACACACACATAACCCTAGAGAGAGAGTAATCCTATGGTAAAAAACATTAAGACTAACAGTGGATTTAGTTTTCATCTTTTTGGCTGAAAAAGGGGAGAAAATAATTAAGAAAAGGGAAGTTGTTAGCTGTATCTCATTTATCCCAGCTAAGTTTTATCAAGAGGACAGCTTTTAACTCAAGAAGCTAAAGTGACCGATGTTAAACAGTGAAATTAAAGTACTTAAGAATTAACTTAAAATTGGGGCTTTCAGCACACCTGCTGAATAAGACAAAGTAATATTATTTCTCCATTAGTCTAAGTAAGTGTCAACCCACCTGCCTCCAGGCCCAGGAAGTACCACTATTAGCTCCTGCTGGGCAAGACACCTCATCACATGCTTGCTAGTGGACATCCCTGTAAGGTAAGGGTGCCCCTTGGGTAAATCTTACTTTCCTCTGTACATTTTTAAATGACAACAGACTGCAGGAACACTACATAGGATGCTTCTCATTGAAGATTAGCAGTTTTTGGAACCTGCAGTGTGATTACACCATGAACAAAGCATGTATCGAAATGCTAAAATGAAAAAAAAAGAATGGGGGAAGCAAGATGGACAATGCTTTTCATGTAAGTCTTCTGACAGTTCATCAGCTGACCGAGTAATGAAACAAAAGTATCGCAGGTAGTTTTGGTAGTTGCAAGAAAAAGTTATTGTTCTTGCTCTAGTTATACATTACATGGAGACTGCGTAGGACAAGGCAACCTTTTGGATAACTGAGGCAAGCAGTGCTTAGTGTCGGTATCCTTTACTCTCGAATGTGGTTTAGTGCTTTACTGTAGCCACACTTATGCACCTCTGCCTTCACCACACCTATTTACCCAAATACTTCCATCTAAAGATCTTTGCATTTCATCTGTGGATACCAAATAAGAGCTTAGTATAAGACTATTTGCTCAAGCTTTTTTCTAAGCAAGTACTCTCGCAGAACTACTGATTAAAACTGACAAGTCTTAAATAAGCTGAACACCACTGAGATGCATATTTTATTTTAGCAGATATGGAAATGTATATACTCAAGTTCCTTTTTTTTTTAAAAAAATGGCCTATTAAGGCATCTTAAAAAAATCCATATATGGCTTTGGTTTGCTGAAATACTATTTTACATTGTTAAAAAAGAAAAACATGTTCAAATAAGTTTGACATTATGACACATTCACATATTTCACTTAGAACTGACAGTTATACAGATGCCTACATGTGATCACAAATGTCTCCCCTTGTGACGACACGAATAAAAAGGTAATCCAAATGTTTATCTCACAGTAGAGGGCAACCCAGAAGTCTGTGCAGAAGTGACATATAAGGAGTTATTATCTGGAAGAGGGGGAACCACAGAGTTTCCGTTAGTGGGTGAACAGCTCAGTTTCAGTTTTTCCAAGTACTCTGCATGAACAGGCTTGTGACACTGAAGGACCTTGATTGCATCTTCTACTTTAAACCATTCTCTTTTCCTTCCTGAAGGAGTATAATCCACAAAGAAAAACAGAGTTACAAATTTGTAACAGCACCATTTGTTGCTATCTGTTCATTCACTGTTTCTCATTTCTTTTGCTTTAGAAGTTCAAGTTGTCAGGCAAAAGATACAAAGTGAAAAGACATTGAAAGAACTGATGAACATAAGAGATCCACTCAAGCTTACTGAAATGCAGTTCATAATAAAGCCTTTCAGATAACACTCTTGAAGCAGACACTGGGAAGAAGCTCATATGACTGTTCATATGCTCCAAAAGCCACATCTAGTTCTTACAGAAAAGGATATTATTATTTAAAAGACACAATACTGCCTTCCTACGTTGTCATGCCTAGCAGAAAATCAATCTGAAGAATGAAGATGCATGCGTACATGAAGTTACAGAAGCAGCATGGCTTGGTCTGATTTAGAAAGCAGTGTTCCATACTCAAAACATAGATGTATGGAGTTACTCAGGTTAGCTGTGAGTTTTTAAAAAATAGTATACCAGAGAGATGTTTAGATAAGTTCTAAGCCTTATCTTAGTAAGACAGTCCTAAGACCATCTTTCCTACACAAGTAAGTCGTTTAAAATTAAAGGCCTCTGAAAACACTTAAAAGGTCAACAATAGTATTGTTAAAAGTGGGATTAATTCTGTTTTTCATTTGGCTTTTTACAGTGTTACAGGTACTATGCTTAAACATTATGAAGACATCTGTAAACTTCCTGTTTAAGACCAAGGTATGTGGCCCCACCAGGGCTGTTCATCCAGCTAGCATCCCACTGCCAGCAGCACTCCCCAGAAGGAGGCCAGCAGTAGCCCCAGTGCTGGATGCTCCCCTCTACCCCACAGCTTGGCACCAGCAGAAACAGACCAGTCCTGTCCTCAGGGGCCCTGTACAGTTCCAGGTACAAGAAAAAACACCTCAAACAATCCTATCACTGCCAATATTGATCCTCCTAAGTAATGGATCACTGATCAGTGTTGCTATACAGGGAACCTGACATGCAATTAAGAATCCCCACAACTTGATAGCATCAGAAACATAACATTCTCTCTCCACCTGAAAAACGGAGCACTTTTGAAATTACCCTTACAGTTACATTCCATTTGCTGTCAGATGAGCAGTGCTAAGTTTATGCATTTTAGCACTCCTAAAGCACAGCCTCTTGAAAAGGGCAAAGCATCACCAATCCAAGTAGGATGTAATTTTTGATACCAATCCTTCGTTAACTAAGACAATACGCTGAACGAACTAAGTTAAAAAAAAAAGCTTAAAACCAAAACTACTTAGTGTTTACTTAATTAAATTAAAAATGGAAGATCCATACAGCATCACAAAGGATATTAATCTAGCTAAATTGCATGACAGTGGTATCTGTATGACAGATATATCTATATAGGAATAAATACCTCTTAAGGTAAGCACTATCACTACTGAAAAATTAATTAGGCTAAGGTCAAAGTAAGTACCAGTGATTTCTGCCCTCACCCCCCTCCAGGAATCAGGAAAAAAAGAATCTCATCAAAACTTCCTAAAGAGTACCCTACCCAGAGTATCAGACAGCAAAACATTCTACTCTTTAAAGAAAAAAGTCATATCAGTATAATAGTTGGCCTAAAAAAAAAAAAGAGCTGTATCAGCAACTAATAATGAAGTTGATTCCATCTTAATACTTAGAATATCCTAATTAATATAACATAAGGGTAACACAGTATGTTGGAAGCAACTCTAGTTATATGCGTACAAAAGCATGGAAGAACAGCACTACGATTTCCAGTAATTTCAGTTTATAGAACAGAACTAGTATTCCCCCAGGATTATAAGAATTGCTTCAGAAAATTAAAGAAGTTTGCTTAATACGTTTTAAGTGTAGCACATGAGGACAAAGAATGAGTTTACCTATATTAACTGAATCTTCCCAGTCTTCCAGTATTTCCGTTACAGTAAGAACATAAACATATGTCCTATGCTTCCGATCCTGGTTCTGCTTGAATATTAGAAGTAGAGGTTGTAATTCACAGGAAAACAAACAAAACAAACAAACCAGTTTACAGACATACCACAATTATAAAAATCAGAAATTACTTACCCTGAAGGATACTTGCCCAAAAAGATGGGAAAAATGAAGTTTTATTTAAAAGAACAGCTATTATATTTTACTAGACTCATTAAAAAAAACTACAACAAACAAGCAAATTTGAAGGTTGTGAAGATGGGACCAAACTATGTTCTTGGTCATCTAGTTTAATATTAGCAGTTGTCCACTAGTACTGCCCATTACTTATCTTTCACATGTTTTCAGTTACCACAGTAGAGTGTGCTGGCTAGAACTGTTTCCACAACTCATATTCCTAGATGAAAGGTTATTAAAAAAACCCTTGCAAGATGGAACCACTGCATCATGTGGCCAGATCATCTATGCAATGCTGGCTCTAAAGTTTCAGTTTAAGTGAGGCAAATTAAATAACCTATGTTTGCAATGCAAAAATCATTACCAGCTGTTCACTCAACAGGTTCTCCATGTTAGCAGCACTAACCACCTATTGAGAAAGCACACGCTTTTTGAACCAGGCAAGTCAGAGACTGACAGAGGTAGCCTGCTCAGGGCAAGGTCGCTGTGCCACAGCCAGTTCGTGGGAGGTCTGTGTAAACATTACTCCCTGCTAGCTCCGAAGCAGGCTAGCAGTGCACTCAAAGGTGCTGCCCTACTAACCAAACTATACTGCCCCTTGGAAGAGAACTGAGCTCCTAGAAAACCCAGGACCATCTATGATTACAACTCTACTAAGAACCAAGAGATGTTATACTCTAGCTCTCCCTTACAGATGGTTTTATCCTTGTGCCAGTAACCATTCCTACTTAACTCTGTTTCACTACAAGCTTACTATTGTTTTATACTGTTGCTTTACTAGGAAATAAAAATACTCCAAGATGGTTCTTTGTCAGTATCACTATTAAATGGAGTAAATATATCTGTAACAGATATCCTTTCTGGCTGTAGTTCTAGAATACGAGGACTGAGCAGCAGCATCATTTCCATCGTCTTAGTTCCATCCCTGGGTCACAACGTGTGGCCCCCTCGATACTAATGACTATTTGTGGGGCTGTCTTGTGAAACTGAAGTAGGGCCTTGATTTAAGGTACAAATAACCTAGAAAGTGCCACTCAACACAGATTTTTATCTCTGCTGGTCTAGATGGTGGTAGATGGCTTCAGAACAACATACATCTGAATTGCCAAAGAATCATCATGCCTTGCATCCCTTGTTTTAAGGCTACAAGATGATAGGTATCTTGTCTTTTTTGTGGACCAAACTGGGAAATACAGAATACTTCTGCAGATTAACCAGTAGCTGAAACACAAGGCAAGTTGTTAATGTGTAGGACTATCCAGGTGTACTCATAAACTCAGTATCAATCAGAAAAAGGGCAAGTGCTGCTAACTACAAACAGGCACTTGTTGAATTCTGTCATGGCTTCCATACTTCACAATGGGATTAAGTAATATTTCACATAGGAAATCCCTATCAGGAATATACTGCCTCTGAAAGTTGGTTTTGTAATCAAACTGTGAAGCTTCATACCTAACTACTAGAGTAAGGGACTTCCACTCTCACCCATCATACAGGACAACATAGTAATGTTGGATGTATTATGATCTGAAGACTCACCCCTATGTTTCCACAGTCTACTCCTGTCTAAAACCTGAGCAGAAGTGGGCAACACCAACACTAAAAGAGAGTTATATCTAGCATGCAACCTTGCGCTGTCAGTACTTCAGAGTCTGATGTTTACACTATGAAATACAAGTTTTGAACTACGTAGTATTGCTAAAGGTTAGATTTATCTGTAATCCAAAGCGTTAGCTTTTTTGGTGAATCAAAGCCATACTGAGATACTTCATATACAGACCTATCAATTTAGGTGTGTGAAAGTTGATAAGTTACTTCAGCAAAAACTAATCAGAGAGAAAAAGTCAAAATCACACCGTCAAGAGGTATGCATGGTATTTCAGAAATCCTAGATCTATCAATGTCGGTTTCACTTTTTTTGTTTTAAAACTTCTAGATATTATCCAAATACTAATTTAATCTTTCTGGGAAAGTTCCAAGTACTTTGAAATCTTCCTATTCAAACCTTCACACATCATGTAACAACTAAAGGAAAACACCTGTCTAATGTAGTATTTCCAGTAGCATTGCTAAATTTAAGGCAGGTAGTAACTTCAGAACTTCTGTCTGATTCTGTTGTGTACATGTTAAGTTTCTGTAGTTTATCAACTCTCATAAAAAAAGAATATTGTTTTTAAAAAGTAAAAGAAAAGCTCACCTCAAATATCCCAAGCAGTCTGCCTAGCTTTCCCTTTACTCCAGCCTACAAAACAAACAGGAAAAACTGTTAACATGTGCTTTTTAATTTAAAAAACCCTAAAACACAAGTACCAGCCTCCTACATCAGCATAAGTTAATTACTTGTCTTCATTAGGGTTATTTAAGCAAGTGTCTTAACGTAAGTTTTAATTAGACAGTGCTGCATTGCTTCTGGAGTTTCTAGTTTTAGAGTACCCAGAGTATTAGAACACAAAAGCTTGTCCTAATGTATGGATCAAAGAATGCGTAAATCTTTCAGATTTTCCATCCAGATCAAAATACTGTTTTACGTACCATGTTCTTTGTGCACTGTGTTTTATTACAGAGATAAGTGACATCCAATACTTAAATAATCCAGGGAAGTAGATAGGACAAGAGATAATTTAAAGTAGTATAACAACAAATCTAGAAAAGGAATCATTAAAACTCCATTGCTATTTTACACAGAATCTTAAGTCTAAGTCTTCAAAATACAATAATAAATTAAACCGTAGGTTACTAAGTGGACCTTGCAGCATGATAACTTAATGTATGCTAGTTTTCATATGAAAGTACAGCTTTTGGCATGTAAGCTTAAAACCAAATTTATATCCCCAATCCTCTACAAACAGTTTTGAATTCTCTTTCTAGTTAATAATGTTAGGAAAGACTTTAGAGTTTTACTCCAGCTTTTTAAAACAACCCCTATGTGTATCAGCATGTGCTTAATAACTTTTATCCATAAAGGCGGTCATTATATTGTACTAAGACTCTAGGGTTTGTTTTCCAATAAGTAATATATAATGCCTCTTCCAACATAAGTACTTTATAATCATCCATTTGTTCTAGACAAATCTCAGACCACATTCCTGAGACATAAAAGCATATGTAGTCTATTGGTAGACAAAGCCATATTTAGAATTTTTTTTGTCTTGTTGTATAACCGATGTTTAAAATAGGGCTTCTTAAGTGCTAAGATGACATTTTCTAGTCTTCAGTCTTTGTTTCCAGCTTTAACCGAAGGAAGCTACTGATGTCTTGCTTCTTTATATAAAGGACCATATGGATCTTAATTACATTTTAATGAGTAACTCTGACAGACAACCAGGCAGGCTTTAGCAATAAGTCTAATCAAGATCTTAGAAGTGAATGCTTTCTGTGTCTTTCTTTTTAAAAAAAGCAGATGGCTGGTGTTATTTATTAAGCAGTTTTGATGAAGGAAGTCTGCTCACAGCCCCTACAACTCAACAAGCATTTTTCTTGTCTAGAGCAAGAGCTAGAGCTAAACTTAACACGAAACTACGTACAATATTCTTCTGGTCATCTGCTGTGATGACAGAGATACCTGTTAGAGTTCATGAAGTTGAAATATGTAACTGGACCTGCTGGATAAGTGATTAGGCAGTATGTTAATTAAGAAAGCATCAGACTCATTTTGATCTGAAAGGATCAGCTACGCCACAATAGGCATTAAAGTCTGCTTGTGCTTTACACCAAGTAATGAAAAAGCATTTATTAGCCTGAAAGAACACATGCGAAATAAATGTTTAAGTTTTACTGATTAATCCTAGTTTCCTCAACATTACAGTATCTTTTGAAAAAAGATAAGCAGAACCTAAAAGGCTACAAATTTATGATTCTGTCCCTAATTTTTGCCTTTCCTCTTATGCAGCAATATCTAGGAATCACTGTATCCTTTAAGATTTCTACTTTGTGGCAAACTGAACAACTAAAAAAAGCAATTTTCCATCATCCTATTCCATCAAAAGTAAAAACATGAATCTGTGAGATTAGTCTTTTTTTAACACTTCAGGCATCCAAGCATACAGTTTTAGCTGCACAAGTTTGTGATTTCTTCATTTCTTCCCTAAAGTTGCAGCAAACAACAAGATTATAGCAAGATATAGCTTACCAGCATGACAAAGAGCCCAGTATAGACTCTGCAGGTTTCTCAAGCATTAAGAAAAGCTTTTCTAAGTGCCAAGGAACTGCTGTAAAGAGGACTATGCTCTACCCGAAGGTGGTAAAAAATGACTCCCTGTCACCTCAAACTAAAACAACTGCCCCACTCCCCAAACCCCAACCAACACCTCCCTCCAAATCAAAAAACTTTAAAGATTTTAGAAGTCTCTAAGAAGTCCTAGCCAAGGCCTTACTTACATTACAAAGATTTCTTAAAGGCAAGTCAATGGCAACAGGACTGTTGAAGGACAAAGAATCTCACCATCAGAGCTGCAGGATGGCTTCTCTGAAACGTGAGTCTGACAATTAACTGATATCCAACACATGGCACAAACACCATTGACCAGGTAAGTTTACCCATATGGAATAGCTTTCATAGAGAAGTTTTTTCAACCTATTAGTACCCTATAGTCACAATTGGAATTTATCATCAATGTTACTCTAAATGGAATTTACTTAACAGCTTCTCTATTCTCTCTCCAAGCAAATCAGTGGTTTAAACAAATATTCTTTGCTGAGCAATTCTGAATGAAACAATCAGAAGCAGTCCATTACATTAAGTGTAAGAATTTCCCAAAGCTTGTAACAAAGCTTTTGTGCAATCAGATGTTCCTAGGTAAATGTGTTTACTATCACTGATGCCTAGTTACTCTCTAGGCAAACACACATGCTTCCAAAATGTAGCATCATTCCTGCAGATAGGAGTGTCTTTTGAAACCTCTATACCCAAAAGTATAAAAAAGTTGTAACTAGTCTCATGAATATATTCAACTGAATCACCTTCCTAGTTTAAAAAGTACCATTAAAGTGACTGTGACTTTTTTTTTTTTTAAAGTGTTTTTGCTAACAAAAGTATTTCCTCCAGGTTCTTACCTTAATGTAGTTCATCCAAAACATGGCAAAGTTGAGTGCTAGAGGACCAAAAACCACTTCAGCTTTTTCCCTAGAAAGTCAAACTATGTTCCCACTTTCCTAATCGTAAGCTTCTAATCCAATACACTGGTCAAGTTCTCAGACTTTGAACCATTTTGTCTCTAATAAAAATATCTTTCTTCCTTTGGCCATGAAGTGCCCATGGCTGTTAAAATACAGTTCTGTAAGTAAACAAAATCCTATAGGCTACAATAGGCAAGTGAGACCATCTAAACTTTGGGGAGAAAAGCCTGAAAAACCACCATTTCTTCTGGCAGGCAAGCTGTCAAATTGGGTGCTACACCTCCCCAGAAGGATTCCCTAAGGAAGTCTATGAGTACTACATCAATAAGGTCTCAAATCTGAATTTATGCATATATTGTAGTATTAGCCTAAATCCAATGACAAGAGGACAAACTGGCCACTTCATCCCATAATTCTTCTGGCCTGGAGGTGGTTCGATGTTGGCAGCTCCAGGCATACTGCAGTCACAGATGCACGGTCAGACTCGCCTTTCGTTTCCTGTAGATGGAGCACGAGCCACGCTGCAGTTTAATTTTTAGGCTAACAGTCTACCAGAGCAGAAAGCTGCTGAAAATAAGAAGTAACTCTGAAAGCTGTCTGAACTGTGATATCTGTTGGCTAGTACTTTAATGGCTAGGCTCCTGAAGGCACAATGCAAGACTATTCCTGCCCTTTCTTGCATACTCTTATAAAATCCAAAGGGTTCCATTGTATCTGCCACAACCTCTCAGCTGAAAGTGTGTTTTATTTTTTTTTTCTTTTGAAGTATCTACCTAGTCCTAGCCTGTAATACCCAGTTATTTTCCAAATATTAGATGCTCACTGGAGCAGATTCCTCTGCTTCCTGCAAGAGGTCTCAGATAATATTACTGCCATTTTCTCTGTTGAAGCAGATTAACTTTCAGGATCGGCCTCTGTCTCAGAAACTGTGTTCACACAGGTCTGGGAGGAATTACGTTCATTTTTTGTAGGCATTTCAGGATACTACTAAGCACAAACAAAGCAAGAGTCTCTTTTTTTTTGTGAGATAGAAGAAAAGAGTCAGAGGGTGCTCCTTCCATTTAACCAGCTGGACATCATTGGCTTGCCACCCTTATTATTTTTGTCATATTTCTCTTAAAATGCTACATGTGCAAACAACATTTATTTCCATCTTTCCTAGTACCTCCCAATTAAGCTCCCAATTGATAAACAGACTAGCTCCTCATTTCTATGAGGTTTAATACCTTTCTGGGATTGCTTTATATTGTAGCTTCATTTTGGTATTCTACTTCCAGGTTTGTAAAAACTTACTGTACCTAAGGAATTTGACAGGTTATTGTAATTACTGTAACCTGTGAAATGGCAGACAAACTTGAATTAATTCATATTAAACACTTAGTAGAGGTAAAACCCCAAATCACTAACATGAACAGAATTTAAGGATAAAAAAAAATCTGGAGTCATACACACAGGCAGACTATGGAGCAACTGCCGTGCATATAGATTTGACTACAAAGATCTTTGCTTGGGTTTTAAAACAAGGATTTTAAATACACAACGGTTGCTGGGAAAGCGAGGGATACTTAGAGCCAGTGGGCTATCATATTGTGAGGTATTAGCACTCTTACTGTTAAGAAACACTACTGCAGCTCTATCAATTCCTCCATTGTAATAAGTTAATGGAAACCGATGCTTAGTTTGTGCATGACCCAATACTGAAGAAACACAGGTCAAACCAGTGCCACAGCATGCCTCCTTTGAAGTTTATTCATTCACAAAACTCTTAACAGTTCACTGTACTGTAACCAGCTTGCCAGGTGACATTGACCTTAGCATAAAAATAGAAAGGACATCCATCTCTAGAAAGGTTAGTAGGAATTTCCATGGGTCAAGTCAAAAGCCTGAATACCACTCTGACTTTTCTTTAAAAATGGCACTTTGCAGTCTCATGGCAGCACACATGATTCAGCCTGTAGCTTAAGATGATGTTACTTTAGGGCATGAACTTTTAACGCTCAGTTACACAAGCCCCAGAAACTCTGAAGCTGCAGAAGAAGTGTCATCAAATGATTTTTGCTTATTAAAGCCTGTAGCCTTTGAAAAATCTTAATGCATTTGCAAGCACAGCTCAGAGCTGAACACAGC